TTTGTAGAACTTTCTTTTGTGACTGATAGTTTATAAGCAGTTAGAAAAAGATGTAATGGTGACTGCTAGGAATTAGCAGATTCGCTAAGAAAAGTCATGCCAAATTCACCTGGTTTTCCTTCTGATGGAATACTGTAGACATAACACATTTTGATTTTGCAAAGCATTTTGTAAGTCTCTCTTCTAAGCCTTTGTGAACAAAATGGGCAAGACGAGAGTTTAGCTATGCAGATTCACATCAACTCCACACAAATAATATGGAGTAATTGATTGGAAGGAGATTGCTGGGGAAATGCTGTAGGACCCAGTTTTATTTCTATTCTAGGCTGCATTTCACTGCCTTGAATGAAAACTCCCAAAGCAGACTTTCTGCATTTCCAGGCATCGCACAAGCACTTGAATGACAAAATGGAGATTGCAAAATATAGGCTACAAAAAATAGGATGAATGAAATAAAGTAAAATTTAGCAGACAAAAAAAATGTAAAGTTTCCCATTTATGTTCAGTTAGCTGAGCATATAAGATGGAGGATACTTGGCTTGACAGTGGGTTCTTGTTTAAAATTCCTGGGGTTTTAATCACCCATATTGAGGAATGAGTATTCCTCAATAAAGGTAAGGTATGACTGCTAAAAGAATGAATGCCAGCTTAGATGGTATTGATGCAAGTGTGCGCTTAAGATGGTGATGGTGTTAAACCCACTGAGGGCACTGGGATGGGTGACCAAGGTCATCAGGATAACGAGATGAGTGACCAAGGTCATCAGGATAATGCAGTCATTTGATATGAGTAATGTTTGAGCTGCAGAAGGAAACAGGGGCAGATCTAGTCCTTGGGGGATAACTCTGAGGAAAGGTTTCCTTTTACTTTTTATCCCCAGTATCTACTATAGCACCTGATAGAAGAGAAGGCGTTGGTCGTGTTTGTCAAAAGAATGAATGCATGAGTGATTGGAGGGGTCGGGCAGCTTTCTGTGAACATTGGAAGGGCTTTCACATGAAAGAGGAAGCCAGTGTCCACTTCTGATGGGGTCCCGGGGTGTCTTTGGTACCCTGAACCCCCTTTGCCTGTGAACCCACCCACAAACCTATCCATGAAAGTCCATTCCTAGGGCTCCAATTATAAGTAATTTGCATGCCCCGTAGTGGACGGAGACATCCACTTCTGGATTCAAATTATTTCTCTACCACTTCCCGTGTGAACCTGGGCAACTTAAATTCTCTGCGCCTCTTTCTCTCACTGCCAAGTGGAAGTAAAACTACTGTCTCCTTCATAAGGTTGTGAGAATTCAAACAAATAGCATATATAAGAAATGTGGCACATAATAAGGGCTCCAAAAAATTGTAGAATGAGTGAATTTCCTTTGAACACCTCTCATGCACCCTGGTCGCTCATGCACCTCAGGGTCATTGGTAGAAAAGAAATACACCTCTGCCCACTAAATTCTGCTCTTTCTTCGGGTATAGAGTCTTCCCTCCTGCGTGAGGAAACTCCCTGCCCACAGCCAGCCATGAGTCTTCCTGCCTCTTCTGGTTCCCCAACTCACTCTCTGTAGGTTGAACACCTTGTTCCTTGATTCCCCTTTGGGGAACAAGAGGGCATCTGCAAGGACGGCCTCTGAGTCTGCCCTCACCGCCTCTCAGATTGACATCCCAGTTCTGTGAGCTGGACTGGGCAGTGTGAAGTAGGGAACAGCATCCTAACCAGACACTCTAGACGCCCGGACTCTAGTCCTAGTTGCTAGAAAACTGAGCAATTACCTCTCTAGGTCTCACAAAAGGTTCTCTGCACTGTCCTTCACATGCGGTGATTCTCTGTAATGCACTAGCTCCATGACATTCTCAGTAACTACAAGGTAAAGATGGATCCTTGGCAGAAAGGAGTACTTACATGGCAGCCATTTTTATCTTGTAAGAAAGACTTCGGCGCTTGGAGACAATGATATGCTGCCTCCTCCCATAATATTTGTCCACATATTTTCTTAACTGCTGAGAAGTTTTTGTTCTTCAGGCCCCTTCAGGACACACCAGTGGCTCATGTCAGGATGCTCTCTGAGACTCCCTGAACCTCTTGTTGTTTTTCTCAAAAGTAGAAACACTTTGATTGGGAGCCTCTAATCCCTGGGGGTCTCGGGGAACATCTTTTCCCCATCTGGGCTTCATTTTCTCCATCTATAAAACAAAAGGATTCAAGTAGAGGAGCTCTGAGGTCCCTATCAGCAACGATATCAAAACTATTCATTTTAGTGTGGCCATACCCCCTACAATTAAGGCAGAAATATCAGAATAAAATCAGAAGTTAATAAACAAAGCTTATTAAATGGAACCCTCAAACAATTATTCTTCCAATCTTAATCAAGAGACCCGAATAATCTGGCTTCTCAATTTGCTCCAGCAATTTCCTTGAAGTTTTGCTGTTGATTAGTTCGGGTAGCCAGTTAATGGAATCTGGCACACCAAACCTATTCATTTTGTTTTCTTAGAGGCAGGCTCCATCTTGGAAATCAGAACCAGGGAGGTAATGGCTTTTGATGTATTGTCAATGGGAGAGCCAGGGAGTTCTCACACAGTGTCATGACCGCCTGAGATCCCACAAGGATGATGACATTGAGAATGAAGATAAAGAAGATGGTGAAGGATGTCCCAGGCAGAGGAGCCCAGCCATCACTGGGCATGGTATGGGATGGGTATGTGGCGAGACAGGACTGGTAGTGGCAGAGCCCTCGGGTAAGATGGTTGGAGTCTGGGGTATCCAGTGGTGTTCTTTGGTGGGAGCACAGGGGTCAATAATGGGAATTTCCAATTGGGTACTGAGAGGAAGCAGAAATCCTAATTCCAGAGACCAAGTGTCAGAGGTAGGAACAAAGGCTCAGGACCTGACTGGTTCAGAGTATGTCCATTCATTCAACAATGTTTATTGAGGAACTCCTGTATGCCAACCACTGCTCAAGACACTGGGGAGATAGCCATGAAACAAGACAGAAGAGCCCTGGCCACATGGAACTAATCCCAGTGGAGAAAGCAAATAACAAACAAATACTTATATAAACTAGTGTCATGTAGTAATTGATAAGGGCCATAAAAATGATGAAGGATAAAAGGAATAAAGAGTGATGGGAGCTGCTGTTTTAGACAAGGTGGTTGGGAAATGTTTCTCTGAGGAGTAAAGACCTGAATGAAGCAGGGAGTGAGCCATGTGAATATCAAATGAATCTCACCTAAAGCGGCTCTTGTCACCATGAGTGACAGAGCTACTAGGGTTGCATTCAAGATCTGAGTGTCAGAAAATCCAGATAATAATGGCTTGAGCAAAGAGCATTAATTTAACTCACTGAAAAAGGTGAGGAGTAGGCACCCAGGGCTAGAACAGAGGGTTAAAGAGGCGCTCGGGGCCCAGACTCCTCTTCTCTTTCTGTTCTACTATCCTTAGTGCTCTTGTCCTCAAGGTCATGAAACAGCTGCCCACCTCCAGGCACAGAGGACAACTTCAAGACACAAAAGGAGAAGAGGAACAGACACATAGGCCAAAGAGACATCAGCTGAGTCTGTCCCCATATAGCCCACCCAATGACTTTTACTATGTCTTAATGGCCAGAACTGGCTCACATGGCCACCTCTATACCAGTCGCTGGAAGAGAGAAGGGGGCTGTGTGTGGGGACTAGGTCAGCCAGTCAATACCATCCACCACGGGTCATTTATTAGGGCCTTCCCTCTCGTCGGGCAGCTCTGCTTTGGCTTTCGCATGGGGTCATCTGAAACCCTTCTCTCCTCTGATGAGTAATAGCCTTGTAGGGAATCAAGGCAACCCAGCTCCTGCTCTAGCTCTGCCACAAACCTGCTGTGTGACCTCAGGTCAGTTGCTTCTGATCTCTGTGTCTTGCTGGAGCAATTATGAGACTGCTCTCTGCTTTAATGGTCTAAGGTTCCAAGTGCTACCCCCCATCTGCTCTCTGCTTTAATGGTCTAAGGTTCCAAGTGCTACCCCCCATCTCAGCCACCACAGAGTCTGCCACTTAGAGACCCTAAGGACCCAGCTGGGTCCTGGAGGAGCACACAGAATGGTCACTTTACCAAAAGAGACACAAACTCTAAGAGGCAACCTAAGCCAGCAGGGCCAGAATGGGGGTTAGGAAAGTGAGGTACTCACCTATGAGAACACAATTTAAAGGGGCACCAAAAAACACAGTAATCAAGATACATAATATTTTCATGCAATTTTTCAAAAATAAAAATTAATGCCGAAAAAAATCCATGACGAACAAGATATCAGAATTTTAAATGGCGACAAGATCAGTATTATTGATTTTTCCTTTTGATTCAGACTCCAGTACAGCTCAGTACCATATGGCATTGTTACTGACTCTGTCTTTCTTTAAAATATTGAAATTTTCTTTATCATCAATTTTTTGCATTAATTTTAATTTTAAAAATATATTGCATAAAATATTATTTGATTGCTGAGTATTTTGGTGCTCATTTAAATTCTGCATCTTACTTAAATGCCTCACCCACCTTACCTGGTCCCAGTCCTGCCAGCCGGAGGCCTGTAAGCAGCCCTTCGCTGGACAGCGGCCAACCTGCCCAGCCAGGCAGGCATTTACCATGTCTGGAGACCTCAGGGTCACACAGTGGACACATGTAATTTTTAGCTCTTTCCCATGAAGTGTTTGGATTAAAGACCCTGGTATTCCTTTAATAAGAAAAACAGGCTGTAGCCATTAAAAATTTAGTCCCACAGATTAGTAGCTCTTCTCCAAAGTGCTGTATTTATTTAATTATAGTTAATTTGGGCCATATCCTCTCTTGGGACTTCCAGCACCTGCCTTCATACTCCTGAGGAGTTTGTCACTAGGACCATGCTATTTGCACAAAATCCCTCTGCCTGTGGCTCCCCTGGCCCACTGGCTCACAGGGAGATAAACACCTTAGCCTCATTACTCAGATGGCTAATTGCGAACTGATTTAATTAAAGTATACAGATATTTCCCCAAGTTAGTTACATTTCATATCACTCCATTAGGAGTAATTGGCTGGAATGAGGAGCCGCAGAGAGGGAGGTTGGCCAGGTGGGTGGGGAGCTGGGAGCCCCCTCAGTCTGTGCAAGGCTTGCTGCCTGACTATTGGGTTGGTATACAGGCATTCTTGATAGTACAGGGTCACCAAGAGACTTACCTCGACACAATAGCTTACTGGGATGTCCTTGGGTCCTTTTAATCACATGCACTGAATTACTTGCTCACAGGCTGGGTCGGGAACCTGGGTTTCCAGCCCACTCTGACACTTACAAGCTCTGTGACCTGGAGCAGTCACCTCATTTAGCTGAGCCTTGGCTTCTCCCTCTGTAAAATGGGAATAATAGTAACATCTACCTCAAATGGTTGGTACCAGATTAAATGGGACAAGCCTGAAAAGTCTTTAGCATAGTACTGGGCACATAATTAATGCTTAATAAATAATCATAACATTCTTATTTGTGAACAGGAATGAAGCAGTATAGACAGTTGAAGGAGCGTCTTTCTCAGAGTCAGAAATTTCAAGGTCTGGTCTCAGGTATGCCCCTAACTTTCTGTGCAGTCTTGGGCAACTTGCTTCGTTCCCTGGGCCTTGGTTTACTCACCTGGAAAATTAGGGGAAGGCAGATAAAGAGACTGAGGTTGGCCCACCCTATATCCATTCTCTCCTCTTTCCTTACTGGCATGGCCCTGATTGGGGTAGCAATGTCCACATCCCCCAACCTCCCTAATAGATAGGGCTTGCCCCATGACCAATTCTGGTCAATGAGGTGAAAGCAAACATCATTCCTTTCTTGGTTTGGGTTCCCAAGAAGTCTTCTTTGAAAGGGAGCTGATTCAGCCAACAGGCACTCCTTCCATCCTTCCCCTTAACTTCTTTCTCTCAAACAGGAAGTGAGCATGATGGTTAGAGCTCCACTGGCCATCCAGTGACCATGAGGTAAACTTAAAGGTGGAAGGCACTTGCAGAGCCACTCGGCAAAGCAGAAAGATAGGAAATGCCAGAGCCTTGGATGACATCTTGGAGTTGTTGCCCCAGCTCTGACCACCCTGGATTCCACAGTACACAAGCAAAAACCTGGCCTCTTCTCGTGAGCTTGGGATTTTGTTGGGAGTGGTGGGGTTATTTGTTTGTTTGTCTGTATGTTTGTTTTGTTAAGCCTTACCTTTTGGGGTCATGGTTACTTGTTGCCAAATGGAATCCCTGACACAGGTTTTCCTGCTGCATCAGAATATTAAAAGCTTGATCTCTGAGCTGGTCCAAACTGCCTGCCCATCCTTTTTCTGTACCTGGAGAGACCCCTCTCTCAGCCTGCAGCAATGTCACCCCCCACCCTCACCCCGACTCTAGCCAAAATCTGCTTACCTAGTTAAAGGTCTTCACTATGGAGCCAAGATCCATATTTCTAACCTGTAAGTCGCAAAACTCAAGGAGATAAGAAGTAGCCCCTTCTCACAGAGAAATCAGGCTCCTGATCTACGTACTTTCCAAGTGCCTTCACAGCCAGTCAATTTGTTGACTGCCCATAGCAAGGTCGACAGACTTGGGAGGAGTTTTATTTATGACAGCTCTGGTGTAGTGGAAAACGCGAAGATACACTGCTGAAATATCTGGTTTTAATCCCTGTTCTGTCCTGTACTGATTGTATGACTGCTATAGATTGAATGTTTGTGTCCCCAGAAATTCATATGTTGAAATCCTAGAGCCTAATGCTTTGATATTAGGAGGTAGGGCCTTTGGGAGGTGATTAAGTCATGAGAGAAGAGCCCCCTAAATAGGATTAGTGCCCTTATGAAAGAAGCCTCAGAGAGCTCCATTGCCCCTTCCACCCTTGTGAGGTTACAGTAAGAAGACAGCCATCTGTGAGGAAGTGAGCTCTCACCAGACACCTAACCTGCCAGCACCTTGATCTTGGACTTTCTAGCCTTCAGATCTCTGAGAAATGGAATTCTGTTGTTTATAAGCCACACCATCTG